GCATAAAAAACAACTTAAATGGTCTTAGCCTAATTCCCATCAAGATGGTGGTTGTTAAAAAATAAATGGTCTTAGCCTAATCCCCATTAATCTTGAATCAGTATCAATTTTTGAACTCTATGTAAACGCTAAATATTTTGCACACCAATTACTTTTAGTGGGAACCCACAACTATATACGTTAGGTTTGTGCTTTGAAGTGTTTGTGTGGCTATAGTATGAGATAAGATAAATGGATTGGTGCCTCATTTGCAAGTACTCTCTCCGTCCGATTTTATTTGTCCGTTATATTTAAAATAGATATTTATTTTTATTTGTTCACAATAAAAAAAATTAAATCAAAAAATAATTTACTATTTTATATTTATTTTATTCTTATTATTAAATAATTAATATTGCAAACATTAAATTAAATTATATATTATCCTTGTAGAGCTAGCACTTATGATAGACATTGACCAAAATTATAATGGAAAAATAATAATTTTATCATCCTTGTAGAACTAGTGAAGTCTAGACTTTGGCACGTATATGATAATAATGAATTGACCAAAATATATAAAGTTAAATTAAGGTGGAAAACGTGCGATCCATAATGGAATAGTAATAAAAACAGATTGAGTGTTCGTTCTTGGTCTACGCAGAACAAGAGGCCTAACTAATGCGTGAAATACGCTATTTGGGGAATATGATTGTAAGATAAATTAGTGAAAATATTTGATGTGAACAAATTTTTATTATCAAATTACTTCAAGATAAATCAGTAAACATTGTTTCGAGCTAGAGTTAACTTGGATGAATATTAGAAGAGCGGAATTCAAACCCTATAGAGATGTGAATCGTGACTCTTTGTATTTTTGAGTCAGGATGATTTTTCGTATAGATCATGAAATACAATTATCTTTTTCTCTCGATTTTCTCTTCTTCTTTTTTTTCTTCTTATATGTGTTATATGAAAAAAAAAATTATTTTACTTTCTCAATTATATTAAATATACAATGCTAAGAAACTAATGTCACATCCCGAACCTACACCCTGGACGTGGCCGGCACTCGAGAACCATTGCTGGTCCCAAGCAAACCCTTGGCCTGACTTACTTACTCAACGAAAGACTTTACTAAAGATAAATATACTTTAAAAGAAAAACTAAACTGCTCAATAAATAACTTAGAATGTAATAAATAACTTTCACTGTCAAAGTGGCAACTCAAGTCTCAACTTAACTGAAAAG